TAGCTGAACTAAAGTAGAGACTCGTACCGCTGAGCCCAAACAAGTTTCGGCCACTTGGCAATCCAATAAGATAAGAAAATAACCCAGAAATCTCTTAGTAAAAACAGTCCAGCAACAGCCGAACAGTAGAGCAGATATAGAGGAGTTTCGAGTACTTTAATAGCTCCCCAAATCAGAAAAATAACCCAGCAACAACTCAGCAATAACTGAAGCAACTTACAGTCGTATGAATCTTTGATTTGAGCTTCAAATCAGACCGAACAATCTTTCTCTCTGATTCTTCCTGGTCACCGAACTAATCTCCAAGCGAATAGAGACTTGGGCACCCTTCAATGACCTCCAAGAGTCACGCAAGTGAGTCTAAACCTCCAGCCCTAAAACACCCTCATGCAGTCGGTTGGACTACAACCACATGAGAGCCATGCCAAGCTCAGTCCCGCTCTAATACCAAGTTGAAAAACAGTCCTAGAAGTATGGGACTGTGCTAGAAAACCAAGAAAAACTAACAAGAGAAGATTAGAGAAGAAGAGAGAGAGAGAGAGCTGCGGCAAGGAGAGTTAGAGGATGAGGAGTTCGAACTTAACCTCCCTCTAACACTCTAATACTCTTTTATTAAGTTAATCTTTAAGTAATTACAAGAGAAGTCCTTAGTTGGACAAGAAATTACAAAAAAGGAACATAGAAGAGTATGGGCCCAGAATAAGGCCCATTACAGAGAAGAACATAAAGATAATATACAGTAACAGCCTATGGGCCATTCGAACCATCTTCTCTACAGATAACAAGGAGATAAAGTAGTGATGGGGAGCAGAAAGATGAGTAATAGAAGCATAATTAGAAATAGGATGAAGAGTGCAAATGTGTTTACCTTTCCACAAGGCAATTAAAAGATCAAGATCAGAAACTGGGGTTGTAGATGGTGTGGGAACAACTGTCGGATCTGTCGACGGTGATGGAGCTGGAGGAGGATCCGGTACATGTTGTCGATGTGTATACACTTGACGAATAGGTGGCCGTTCAATAGGAAGTTGCACCGGAGGCAGACTTGGTCACAGCCAGAACAAGAGGAATGGGGTCCTCAACTGGGATTGGAAGAGGAGGAGGTGGTGAAGAAGAAGAAACATCACCTGACCCCGAGAAAAATGGAGTGAACTCAAAGGAAGTAACATCAGCGCATACAAAGGAATGACGGGAGCTAGGGCTATAACACTTATACCCTTTTTGGGTACAGGAATAGCTAAGGAAAATACACTTAATGGATCGTGCATTTAACTTGTCCCTTCCCGGTCCAAGATTATGAACAAAATAGACACACCCAAAAGCCTGAGGAGTAAGGGGAAACGGAGACAAGGTAAGAAATAAAGTGGTGAAGGGAGAATGACCTTCAAGGATGAGTGTGGGCATCCGATTAATCAGAAAGCAAGATGTAAGCACAGCATCACTCCAAAAAGGTTTGAGTACCTTCATATGGTGCATAAGGGATCGAGAAGTTTCCAAAAGGTGACGGTTCTTTCTCTCAGCTACCCCATTTTGTTGTGGGGTGTAGGTACATGAAGTCTGATGGATAATGCCATGTTGTTCCAAATACTCCTAAAATGGTGTATAAAAGTATTCACGGCCATTATCAAAATGGAGAATCTTAATGTGTACACCAAATTGGTTGCGAATTTCAGTATAAAAATTTTGGAAAATGGAAAACAATTCACTCCTTTCTTTCATTAGGTAAAGCCACGTCATCCTTGAATAATCATCAACAAAAATAACAAAGTATCTATAACCATTGTATGACATTATTTTATTTGAACCCCAAACATCTGAATGAACAAAAGAAAAATGACTTAACATACGATTATCAACCCTATGACAAGGTTCAAAGTATCGATACGATATGCATATTGGTCGTATCATATCGGTACTTAGAAACGGCCAAAGCATCTTTTTTTTTAGTTTTTCAAATTTTGGTTTTTTGGGAAGCTTAAAACATGTTTTTTATTATTAAAAAAAGTCGGGGGTCTGAAACATCTGGAAACATGTATACCGTATCTTTTTCAAAAGATACAATACGATACGCTCGATACGGGGCGTATCGTGTCGATACTTTGAACCATGCCCTAGGACTAAAGGGAGCACAATGATATTTTCCCAACTGACATGACTCACAATCCAAAACAGAAAGATGACTCAACGATGGAACAAGAGACTTCAAAACTTTAAGTGATGGATGACCAAATCTATAGTGCCACTGAAGAGGAGAAAGAGTTGTTGATGCACTGCCACCACCATCAAGATAATACAGTCCACCAACTTCATGCCCTCCACCAATCTTCATCCCCGTCTTGAGATCCTAAAAAACACAAGAAGGGTAAAAAGTGATAGAGTAATTAAGGGACTTGGTCAACTTACTAATAGACATAAGGTTAAAAGGAAACTTGGGAACATACAAAACTGAGGATAAAGATAAAGGGTTTATGTTAACATTACCAACACCACAAATAGAAGATGTGGAACCATTAGCAAGGGTTACTGAGTGTGATGTTGGGTACTGAGAAAAGGAGGAAAACACACCTGGAGTTCCAGTCATGTGATCGGAGGCTCCAAAATCAATAATCCAAGAGTTGGGTTTGGATGCCAGACAAACGATACCTGAGTGTGCAAGAGTGGTTGTATTCTGTTGAGATGTGGCCTAAACAAGCCCTTCATACTCATCACGTGGAACACTTATCGTCTCCCTCCCGGGAACTACTATCACTGGTCACCGCATGATTTGCCCAAGTTGAAGGTGGGCCATGCAAATCATAACAATAATTGATGATATGTCCTTCCATACCACAGTGCGTACATCTTCTTGGACCAAAACTACGTCATCTACCACGAACTCCCCCTAAATCTCGACCTCCAATACGTCCACCACCACGACTATACATAGGTCCACCACCACCACTACGACCACACACCGGTCCACTGTTACCACTATGGCCAGATTGAGCTCCCCGAGCTCCACCTCTAAGACCACGGCCTCCCCCTCTTGACACTGCAAAGGCCGACCTATCAGAGATACTAGAATTCTCTATAGGTCCAATAGAGATCCTCTGAAGATGAGCAAACACCTCTTCTAAAGATGGAAGAGTTGATCCTCCTAGTATTGTGCCCTCACTGGTTCATATTCAGGTTTTAGTCCTACGAAAAATCTGGTCACATCTAGTTGTTCTCTCTGTTGTTGCTGAGTTTTAACATCAGAGGTGAGGGGATGGTACACATTCAGTTCATTGCGAAGGTTTCTCATGCTAGCATAGTACTCTTCAAGACTCTGATTACCCTGTTGCAGATTAAAATATTACTGATAAAGCTGATACACTCTAGTTGTGTTGTCTTGTCCCGAATACAACTTCTTGGCATGGTCCCAAACCTCCTTGGTTGTATCAAGGAACATGAAATTCATACTGATCTTGGGTTCCATATTATTCCATAACCAGGTCATAATCTATGCATCCTCTTGTTCCCAATCACCATACTCATGAGACTCAGTAGAGGGTTTTTCTTCCCTTATATGCTTCACTTTCTTCTTAGCATTAAGAAAGACCTCCACAGATTTGGCCCAAGGCACATAGTTTTCCCCATTCAATTTGATAGAAGTCATTGGAACATTCAGGTAGTCGGTAGGAACCATCACACTAGTTTTGTTTTCACTGTTATCTCCCATATCTGAAATTTTTTTTCTTTCTAATTCACCTCTCACAACATTGCACTCAGCATCACTTGTCGCTGAATTCTTCACTCTCCACACCACAACCCTACTACACGACTACATGAATTCTCACCACCTACTTGGAACTCACTAACCACTCGATCCACACTAAAATCTGCACAAAACCCTACTACACGACAACCTTAATTCTCACCAACCATTCGATCCACACTGAAATTTGCACAAAACCCACCTATCTAATCACCAAATGATCGACCTGAACTCGACACTCCACTGCACCACTCGAACCAGCCCTCTTCTCACCATCAATTAGGGGGGCCTTCCTACGAATCACCACAAACACCCACAAACCTACTGACCGGAGGCATAGAAACCTCCAAGGGAAGAGGGCGACCACTCCTTTTCAGCCCCTTCCCCTATTTTCAACCGATGATGAAGAAAAAATAAAAAGAAAAAAGAAAACCCTAGGCTGAATGCGAGAAAACCAGAATTCTGGGCAGATTCGATTTTGTCACAGTAGTTCAGATACCATATTATAAACCTAATCTGCACTATAATTCTGTTAGAATTAGGGTTGAAGAAATATTAGAGAGATAGAAGAAGTATAAGAAGAAGAGAGGAGGATAGAGAAGAAGAAAATTCTGGTTCGAACTAGAGAACACAGATTTCTCTCTAGTCGGCCAGATTGAATTTATATGTTTCTATCCATAATAACAAAAGACTACTTTGTCCCCACTTAAGTATGGGACACATCATCTAACAGAAACATTACACATCAGCAGCTTTAAATATAAATATAAAGACTAAAGTACCCCTACACAGTCCACATTAACAAAATTCATGTTTTAGTATACATAGATGTTAATTCTATATAGGAGTATGTGGGGATGATCTTTGAAAAAGGATCAATTTGCAATTATGAAAAATCTTAAAATTCTTGAAACGTATTCTCCCCATGAATCAAATGAAGAATTTTTGTTATCTAACTCATTTTCAACCAACTGACAAAAGCTTAGGAAATTTATAAACCTTGAGATAGTAAAAAAGGGCACTAATAATTTGGAAAAACTTAAAATAGGATAAAGAACTAGAAGAAAAGAAGAATAAAGCACAAAAGCTTACAATATTAAATCCATGTACTCAAGGGATTGTAACCCAAATGTATTTCTATATTCTCTTTTATACAGCAGCTTTTTCCCTTCCAGTTAATTCATAAATTTCACTAATCAGAAAAATGTCTCCCAATATTATTGTCTTATAATATCATAAATGGATTAAAATTTTCAATGCTTACCACTGCCATCACGATTCCTATGACAGATACCATAAGAATCTATCTTAATATTCTCCTTTTCAAGCCCTTCAAGGGCCTCTAAGCGGAAGTTGTGAGACCTACAATTGGAAATGAAGGCAGCTGCAAGGGAAATTTCAACCTTCGGTTGTAATGGTGCCATGATTTCATACTCAGCCCATGAAAAATAACCAACAGGAACATCCGAAGAGAGACTTGTTGTCATTACAACATTATACCGTCTCCTGAGATAGAAAAAGATTTAACAAATATCAGTTTTGTTTAGTTCCACCTTCAGTTGATAACTACATTTCACTAGAAACAGAAATTTGGAAATATAACAAAATTATGTAGCAAATGCCTGTCTAATCTCTGATAGTAGAAGTTGTATCTGCCTTCAACATAACAAGGTTTCTTTTTTTTTTCAAATCCCTATCTATGTTACTGGTAATTAAAAGGTCTGTTTATTGTAAATTATAATACTAAATGTGGATCTTCTTGCAGGGAAAAAACCTTTCAATATGAATATCATATATCAAGGTGCTAACATGCTATATTAACATGATGTTGTAATTTGCCCCTAGAATATCATATCCCTTATTCATGGCAAGGATTCATTTGCTCATAGTTAAAATTCATCAAATGGCATTCCAAGGATGTAGGATCTGCAAAGCAATGGGAATCAGCAGTCCTCTTCATCAGGTTTTATATATATCCACCATGTAACTACTGTAACTACTTGACCAAAGGATAATTGACACATTCATGAATATTTGGTGCTTCAAACTTTTTTCGTGGTCTTTACACCTATTATTTATCCTTCTCTTTTGAAGCATCATCAAAATGCACACATTCTGGGATGCATACATACATATATGTAATAGCCTTACAGTCAAGAGTCAAGTGAGTACAAGTTCCTCCACCTACCATAGAAATGCACCACACTTGATGATTGGGAAATAATACTGTATATTTGATGTAGCAATATGTTCCATTACAAAAAGCAGTGAACTTATAATCTACACTTTTCTGTAGTTTTTCCTAATTTTAATTAATTTGCCCCATGTTGGGAGACACCATCTGAGCAATAAATTTGTTCCATTTTTCTCAGAAACTAAAAAAGAGAATAAGTAGACATGTTCATTCAATTGAAGCCAGTTCATGAACACCTCTTGGTCAAACTGAACTTACAATCATGCTATATTATACATTGTAAAAGCAATGTATCAAAACCATAAGAAACAAAGCAGCCATGTTTAAATAAATAGTCTTCCACTCCACAGAGAAGCATTGACCATGTCTGTGGAAACTCCAAAAAGAAAGTAAATTCCAACTTTGAACAATTTCATAATTCCCAAATATGCAAGAGCCATTTCAGATTGTGCTTACCCACCATCGTGCCTCCTTGATGTTGAGTTCTGGATAATACTGAGAGGATTCCATGGATCGAATGACACTAGCTGTTGTTACATCTTGAGATGAGCCAATTTTAGCATCATACTTCTTATTTGACCCAAATTCAAATCCAAACTTACACCCCACAGAGCAAGAAATCCACCCCTGAATGAAAGTCCATTATAACAGTAAGTATGACTTTGATATATGAAAATATCAAATATAATCTGAAACTGAAAGGATAATTAATTTCAGCCCCAGATAAGTAAAAGATGTCAGAAATAAATGTGGCAGATAATCTACAAAATGCAAACTTTCATCAGAATTGGAGATCCTCCTACAATAACAAAGAAAAGGAAAAATAATGAGAGGGTTTTAGACAGTTAAAAGACATAAAAAGTTTCTTTAAAAGAACTTCATTTTCTGTTTTGTTTAATAAGCAATTTATGGTAAAAAATCTGGAGAGCCAAATTTACCCATTGTACACCATTTAGTTGACTCTCCAGACAAACCTCTTTCAGTAGTTTCTCCAAAGCAGCTGAACCAAAGCAGTTATGTAAAAAGGTAAGACCTCCCAAACAGAACCTACTATAAAGTGAGAGCTCCATTACATCCTCCTCCCCAAGGAAGAAAAATGAAAAAGAGAAAACAAAAGAGCATTCTAAATTTTTAGCACTAATTCTTTTTGTTTCACTTTAAAGAAAGTACCTTTTATCTCTCCTTATCATACAAATAGAATCATTAGATTCAAGTTACAGGATCTCAGTTCATTAAAATCCAGCCAATGTCTAGTAAGAACTCTTAGCAACCTTTCTGGATCTTGATGAAGGCATAAGGACACCCATTGATGGCCTATGCAACATCCCAACTACTCTTATTATCACTAAGATGTGGCCATAAATTTTAACTACAATGATGCTGCGAAAAGGTCCACTAAGGGTTACATGCATCCAAAAGCTTTTATGAAAAACTTCTTGTACTGCCTAAGAAAGGAATTCCAAAGTAAGAGTTTCATTCATGTAACCAGCTTCATATTTTTGTTATAACATGTTTCATAGAGTTATTGAGACATCATGACTTAAAGATTAAACCACAAATTATCCAATAGTATAAAGGCACTTACAATAACTAGATTATTGATCAACTTCTGACACACGATATGTTGTTATGAGAATAATAATATCATTCAGGTCAAACGTAGCATAATTTTCAACTGTTTACGGGTGTCTCTAAAATCAGTTTATTGCTTTCCATTCTTTTATGTTTGGTTAGTTATTTTGGAAGGGAATTATTCCACAAATTGCAAACCAATTCAATGAATTAAAAAAAAAAAAAAAAGCATAGACAGAAACGCCATTTAGCGCCAAAATTAATACAATTTTCATTTACAAATCCATGACCAAAACCTCGACCTTTTTTATGCTTGATATACAGAAATTTAACAACAGTGCCACGCATATGATGTGTATTTGAGCAATTAACTATTAAGAACCTCAAATAATAGCAAAAATTTTCAAGGATCAAAGAAATTAAATTAAACTAAGATTTTTTTTGGTCGTAAACAAAGCTTTCATTAAATAAACACAAGGATATATATATAGTAGCAAATAAGAAAACCGAGCACAAATACAAAACCTGTTTACCTAAGAAAAGCTAGCTAAGAGAAAAAACAAACACAAAAAATACCCTCAATGCGATCTTCTCTGCATATTCAAATTAGATGGGAGGAAGGGGAGAGGAACATTAACCTCTTCAGCACCAGAAACCAAGATGGGTTTCTTTTCAAAGTCTCTAGAGTAGGTGATAGCGTCTTCTTGCTCCAACCAGTCCTCGCAATTCTCGTTATGGTTGTTAAGACCCAAGGCATCGAAGGCCTCCTTTTGCTGTGATGACATTGCCCCCTCACGCATTGAAGCAAAATAGAAGGAGTTGGTCCACGTTCGAACCATGGTGGCGTTCTTCACCATGTCGAGGCGGCCTAGAAAAATGATCTCGGCCACGACAACAAGGGCGACAAAGAAGGGCATTAGCTTGGCCCATCTCCTCCTCTTGGTAGATGAAACCCCTGCATTGACACCGACTCCTTCTCGGGTTATTGGTATCTCTGAACCTTTCTGCCCTTTAAGGACACCCATCTTCGATTTTCCTGTTTCTACTTTCTATGTCCTATGCTTTCTCTGTTGTTTCTCCGCTCTTCTGTTTTTTTCTATCGGAATTGCGAAAAAAAGAGATAGATAGCTCGGCAAAAGATCATATTCTCCTGCTCCCGTGCACATACATTCAAGCGCAAGCGGAGGAAGATATTAAGCCTTTGATGTGGCAATACGTAACGAAAGGAAAATCTATGATGCGGGAAAGATATGGTATGGAAAGCATCAATCAAAACTCACCCATAAATAACACCTTATTTGCTACCACCTTTATCATTCCCTAAGACCCACCCGTACTGAATTGTATTCGTCTGTTCTCGCAACCTGCTAGAGACTAGAGTGCCACTAAGGCGAGACGAGATGGGCCGGGTTTAGGATAGCGTGATAACGGATCGGATCGGGTTTACAAAACGGGATGTATACAAATATGAGTCCCATTCGATAATATAAATTTATTCGGATATCTGATTTGTGGATCCCACAAGCATCATCCGAAACCGAATTCGTTAAGGATGTCAGCTGATTTAACTTTCTTGAAATTTTTAATAAATTATTAATAAAAAAATAAAAAATAGGTTCAGATTTTGAATCCAATCGATCATGATACAATCCATTTGTACCCCTAGTCTAAGGTCAAAGCATTTCCATCCCCAAGTATTTGTCACTTGGTCCAAACCCAATCCGATAGCCTAAGATCAAGTTTGATATATCCAATCCACACTTACCCAGAAGTAAAATTTGATATTCATGTAGTATGTATCTAATAGGTAGATAGGTGTATTATGTATGTATGAATGGTCGTGTTTAATTGGTTAACCAATATAGAAAAACTATTAAAACGTTATCATGACTCTCCTTGTTCTGTTACCTTACCTTGCATTTTTTTTTACTCGCTTTCTTCTTTTTTTTCTACAGTTCCTAATCTGATCTATCATTCACTCACTCAATCCATTTATTCACGTTTGGGCATATATAAGCATCGCCATATACATGGAAAACATGAAATCAACAGCGTTTATTGAATTCAACTTTTAGAAGCAACCGTAATTAAAAAGGAAATCTTGGATTGATTTTCAATTTTAGAAGATAATGTAAATGGTAATAGACTTTAGCCAAGTGAAGAATGTTAAAAGTTTGAAATTGCAATTAGTTTGGTTTTGTTGGTGTTCGGATTGGTCGAGGACAACAAGGTAAATTTGTTTTGCTTCCTGGACGAGTTGACTAGGAGGATCTTAGCTGTGGTCAGCCGAGGTAGAATCGAGGATGAGGATCAATGATGTTCGAGTAGGGCTGAGGCCGAGGAATGATGTTGTTCGAAGAAGACCGAGGCCGAGGACCAGTGGGATCCATGGAGTGCTGAGAACCTGCGAAGGAAGGAACGTCAGAGGCCCCTGGTGAAGACCCGAGGCGAGGGCTCCAACGGTTAAGTTAGTAGGGCATAGTAGGGAGGGCGAACGAGGTCCAAAGGGTTCGGACGAGGTCGCATGGAAACTGGGAAGCTAGAGTGCAAGTTCTGGGTCTAGATCCTAAAAAGTCGTTCCAAAGAAAAGATCCCTTACCTTGGGGGAATGGTGCCCTATTTATACTTGAGATCACCTAATGGCGGATACTACGGACGGTCAGGATGTGATCTATCCCTAAGCAGGCGGCAATCCGAACTTGCCACATGTGGTCACGCCATTGATCCTGCACTGGGCACTGGCCCCTTCCCTGTTTGATGCGCTGATTCACTTCGAGCCCGGCCACGTGTCGATGTGCCAAAGGCCCGCCAAATGCGCCTACATCAGGTTTGCTTCTCCGTATTTGATTCTGTCACTTCCCAAAACGTCTCTCACCGGTTTTCTTTATTCTGTTTGTTTTTTTCTCACTGCAATCATTCCCCTTTCAGTTTGTTCATCTCATTTTCTTAGTTCCATTATAGTTTGATTTCTGTGACCAGATAACAATTGTAGTCTCAGCCCATTGCGGGTCGGTTATCTTTATTTTTATTTTTTTAATTCTCTTCAGTTTCGTTTTCTCACATCTGTTATTGAAGGCTGTTTGTTTAAGATTGTAGGTTTGCTTTGTCACCCTCCAGCATCTCCATTGTAGTTTGCATAGGAATTGTTCAAGGATGTGCCTCAGGAGTGGGTGAAGACCTAAAATACACTTCCATCACATAGCCGCCATTTTTGCACGTTTTTTGTCAGAAGACGGTTTCAATATTTTCCAATATAACTTGGAGGTGATTAAAACTGATCTTCATGTTATTTCCGATCAAGACCCACCGTTAACTTTGGCCCGATTCAGACCGAGTTTTGAAGGATTCGTTTACTGTTATCGGGTGAAGAAGACAACGAAAACGGATCTTCATATGACCCAAATATGATTTAGCCGGAGCCTACATTTACAGGTATGTGTATGCCGGAGCCCACATATAACCCAAATACAATTTCCAGTATCATGTACAAGTGTATGTTATGGACATATGGTTTATTTTTTGGGAAAATTCCAGTATCATGTACATCTGAATTTTTAAAACGTGACAATTTAGTATTTGTTATTAAGTGATATTTGAAAAGTTAAAAATGTTCTAAGAATGCCATTTAATTCTCTTTATCAACCATTCAAATATTGACAATAAAATGAACTGTCCCAAATTCTAGATTCTTTTAATAGAAGAGGCTAGGATTTGAGACTGTTCAGTTTTTTGTCAACGCTTTGGATTGTTGATCAAGAGATTTATATGGCATTTGAAGGGCATTTTTTACTTTTCATATGTTATTTAACGGTTGATTAACGGATTGGTTAACGATAGGTATTGGATTGTCACATTTTGAAAGTTCGGGTACTGGATTGTCACATTTTGAAAGTTTGGGTACTGGATTGTCGCATTTTAAAATTCGGGGACTAAATTGTCACTCAAGCCAAAGTACAGGGTACTGATAGGGAATCTTCCCATATTTTTTTATTTAGAAAAGGCTAAGGTTTCTATAAAAATTCCTAAACCGGCCTTAAAAGGAGCCTCTCCCATTTTCCAAACATTTTGTTTCCTAACATTTTTTCTTTGCCCGAACCTGAGCCCGACCTGACCAACAGGTTTACAACTTGGACCCGAGCCTGAAGCCCGAGAGAGATAGGGAGAGAGGATTCGACTTACAAAATAGAGAGAGACAGAGAGAGAGAGAGGACCTGGTCACTCTACTCGTCAACACTCAAACAATCTTACTCTCTTCCGAGAAACCCATTTCTATGAGAACTGCAAAAATTCTCTTGTTCTGTTTCCTGCTTAGATTTTCTAGACAGTTTCATACTTTTTCTCTTACCCAGTTCCTACATTTTGAATTCTTCCGACTTTAGCTATTACACAAGTTCAAAAGAATGAATATTACACTAGGATCGGTGTTGTTTATCTTGTTTTTGCTTTCTTTGTTCCTTTCATCCTCTGCTTTGCCATCATGGACAAGTTACACTTTCCCCAGTAAGAGAGTGATCCATTCCTGCAATGATCTTCCCATTTTGAGTTCCTTTATTCACTAGAACTACAACCCATCTTCACCGTCGGTCATTGGTGGCATTGGTTAGAGTTGAGAGTGATAAAGAATGAAATATGAAAAGGGTTCGGTTTAGGAATTTAGGGTTTAAAAGCTATATATATAAAAGTTGAGTTGGGTTGGGCTTTTGTGGCAAATCCCGAACCTGACCCATAAAATAGTCAGGTTTGAGCTTTTAGGCCCGAGGTCAAGCCCGCAGGCTAATATCTATGCACAAGCCCGTCCATGGGTTGGGCCGAGTCGGGTCGGCCCATCGGGTTACCCGGCCTATGAACAGGTTGACTTGTGAGTAGACTTGTTCATGGGTCGGGTCGGGTCGGGCTTTCACTCTGTATTAACAGATTTTTCTAAGGCCCGAGCCCGAGCCCGGTCCGACCATCGAGCCTACAACTTGGGCCCGAGCCCGGCCCTCATAAGAAGCCCGAAACCCGGGCCTGGGGCCGAGCCCGAAATTTATCCCATGTTGTTACTACTGCTGAAGTGGCTGAATAGAGAGAGAGAGAGAGAAATTATAAAGAAAAAATAAAAAAATATATATATTAAATTATAAATATATATATTTCAATCAATATTATATTATTTAAATATTTTATATAATATATAAAATACATATTTTGTATTTTATAAAATATATAATGTTGAGTTGGGTCGGGTCGGGCTTGGGCCGGGCTTTTTTGACAAATCCCGAGCCTAACCCATAATACAGTCAGGCTTACTGTGCTAGGCCCGAGATCAGGCCCGCGGGCCTAATTACATGATCAAGCCCGACCAGAATGCGGGCCGGGTCGGGCGGGGCCATCGGGCTACCCGGCCCATGAACAAGTCTACTTGTGAGTAGGTATGGATAGCATTCTTATGGGTATTAATTTCAAACGTGATTTTGAGTGATACTGGTGAATAAGGAGAGAATACTTTATTATTATGCCAACTCATCTTAGTGATAAAGAAATAAACCCCAAATACGAGAATGACATGATACCAAAACTAAAAGAGCTTTGACCACTTTACCGATCAAACCCACCCACTCGTGAATACCATCTCCACCAATGTACAAATAACAGTTTATTGCCACATGTCCTTATTATATGGAGATTAGGAAATAAAATAAAATAAAATAATGTGTATGTATGTATTTCCTCGTATAAGGACATCTGTGTCAATTGACGAGTCCGGATTTCTTGATCTTGTATTTTCTTTCTAAGACGTAGGTCACTGGTGGTGTGTTCACTTCTTTGGTTATGGTTATGTAGTCCGTGAATCGTGTGTGTGATACACTGCTTTAATTAAAAGATTAAGGAGAGGAATCATCACGTGCGCATATGATGAGGGGTTTTTTGGCAGTACCTTATTGTTTGGACTACTTCAGGTGGTTGATAATTCAGAGGTCGAAGTAGAGGATTTTTGTTAGATGAACACTTGGATGCCGAGCTGACTAAGCCGAGCTAGAGAGTAGATTGGGTGCTGAGTTAGATTGATTGTCGAGCTGAGTAGCTCTTTAGAGAAACCTGCAAAGAATCAATGTGGACCTGGGGTGGCTAACTCGGCGAGGTCGCTCCAATGATTAAGTTAGTACTCTCGTAGCAAATCGCGACTAAAAAATCAGAAAGTATCAGAGGTAGAATGTGCTTACTCGCCTCTCCCCTGTGTCATTAGGGTTGGTGCCTTTATATAGGCATTGTTTGGTGTGGACCTCATGCACCACATCCGAGATTTTCGAGAGGTCGTGCCTAACCGGTCCGAAATCCTCGGAGGTAACCGCCATGCACGTTGACCATCCTCCGGAACATTCAATACGTGGGCCAACTTTCGAGAAACCTGGGAGTGTCGAGATATGCATGCCAAATTTGTCGGCGAGCACATCTCACAAGTCGCCACCTGTACCTCAGTCAGGCCGGCACGCCCTCGAGGGAGGTTGCTCCTCGCGTCGAGGTCGCTTTAGCCAGTGACGAGGTGCTACAGGTCAGCCCTAGATGAGGTGCTTATAGCCGACCTGAGTTGTGGTCAAGGTCGCCAGGTTGGTGGTGAAGGCAGGTCGCCAAGTCGGGGCGAAGAGAAACCGTGATCTGAGACTCCAAGTCATCGCTTAGGTGGTGTCCATGTGTCATCCAACTGTTTCTAGATGCTATGTGTCACGATGTGACTGGAGGGCCAAATCCGCCCTCATCAATTGCCCCCCACTCCCAAGCCGAGGGTAGCTTGGCAAACGGAGTAAATGGTTTCCTTTTGGCCCAGAATGACTGTTTGATAAACTCGTAGTCGTAAGTGTCGGTCCGATTTGCTTCTCAGGTCAGAAGAGTTCAAGTGTTTGTAGCCTTACGCAAGACCTTGCCGTCTTGATTTTCGGGGCACGAAAGCAAATTCATCTGCTCGATGAGAAGTGGAGCAGGTACCCCGAGGACATCTACCTTATTAGGGATGTGACCATCAAGGGGTTCTATAATTCGGCTAAGTACCTCAAGAACGAAGCTTATCATGTCGTCCTCAATAAGGGGTTTTAACTGCGTGACTGCTTTATTAGGTCGTTCCACTTAGGTAGACTTTGACGCAGTGTCACTTGAACCAGTTCTCAAAAGAGTAACCAGTGAGTTCAACGCGGAGCCTGAAACCTAAGTGAAGAGATCGACCAATTTTGCATTCGTCATGGTGCTGAGAGCGAACTAGTCTTTCCTTTATTCTCTTTCTCGTACTGAATGCAAACTGCTTTTTCATATTGCCCATGCAAAAGAGGCGATTGGGTCTTATGCGATGCCAATGTCTTTTATCAACTCGACACCTTAGCCCTTAGGCTCTAGGAGCGACTCGCGGTCCACTCTCCTTACCCTTGATTTTGCCCATGCTGAAGCAATTAGGTCTTATGTGGTGCCGAGGTCTTTTATCAGCTCGGCACCTTAGCCCTTAGGTTTTGGGAGTGACTCGCGGTCCACTCTCCTTAATATTATTTAGCTGATGTGCGGCCTGACCTTTCTGCCTACGCGGGTGGTCATTCCGTAGTAACTTCTCATATGGCTGCTTCTACATCATCCCGTGGGATTATCTTCCAGGGTGAGCGCTTGTGAGTCCACAACGTACATGTTTTGCCCCCCGCCCCCCTTGTGAGGGCATAATGTTATTGTCAGTGTGAGTCAGCAATTCGGGGCCACAGCTGCACTACATTAGCCTTGTAATGATGTCGGTCGTCCACTTCTACGAGAAGCCACAACGAGTTCAACCTATGGGGGCAGCTCTACTAACTGTAAGTCGCCGACTCACTCGGGAGCCTTGAGGGGCTCAACACGCAAGGGCGTTCGCATAGTTCGTAGGCCGTTAACTCCCGCGGGAGCCGCGAAGGGTTCAATCTGTAGGGGAGACCTCACGAAGAGGACTGATGAGGCTTATTCGGGCTGAAATAAAGTCGACAGAGTTGCTTAGTTTGTTGGCCATCAACTTCCCGCGGGAACCATGACTAGCTCAACCTATGGGGATAACCTTACTCTGAGGTGCCTGTTGCCAAATTGTTGGTTGTTAAGGTCGTTCTACTGTTGCCTATTCTGCATCGACATGAATAAGTCGAGTTGCTCCCATGCTCACATTTGGAAATTCATGCTTCATCTCATGGAACTGTCACGCTTCGATCCCGGTGGGAATTGTTGATGCTTCATCTCACTGAACTTGTCTGATTGTCATAGGCGAGCTCTCTAGATTCATCACATATGTTTTTGTCCCCTAGTAATTGATATTCGTTCTGGGTGTTGATGCTGCTCAAAAGTGCCTTTGAGTTCATAAAAAATGAAAATTAGAAAGTGAGAACTTTAATTTCTAAAAGGTGAGATCTTAGCTTTCTGGAAGATAAGGACTTAGTTTTTTAGAGGTGAGAACTTAGATTCTTGTAGCGTTTTCCCATAGACGACGCCAATTGATGAGGGGTTTTTTGGCAGCACCTTGTTGTTCGAACTACTTCCAGGTGGCCGATGACTCAGAGGCCAAAGTGGAGGATTTTTGCTGGATGAAGATTTGGATGCTGAGTTGACTAGGCTGAGCTGGGTAGCTCTTCAAAGAAGCCCGCAAGGAATCAATGTTAGAGGACCCGAGGTCGCTAACCCGGTGAGGTCGCTCTTATGATTAAGTTAGTACTCTCGTAGTAGATCTCAAGCTAAAAAATCAGAAAGTATGAGAGGAGCTAGAATGTGCATACTCACCTCTCCCCTGTGTCATTAGGGTTGGTGCCTTTATATAGGCATTGTTTGGTATGGGCCTCACGCACCGCATTCGAGATTTCTGGAAGGTCATGCTTAACTGGTCCAAGATCCTCAAAGGTAACTGCCATGCACGTTGACCATCCTCCAGAACATTCGATACATGAGCCAACTTTCGAAAAATCTGAGAGCATCAGGATATGCATGTCAAATTTGTTGGCGAGAACGTCTTGCAGTTCACCACTTGCACCTCAATCAGGCCGGCACACCCTCGAAGGAGGTCGCTTTAGCCAATGACGAGGTGCTACAGGTTGGCCATGGACAAGGTGCTTCTAACCGACCTGAGTTGTAGTCGAGGTCACTAGGTTGGCGATAAAGGCAGGTCGCCAGGTCGGGGCGAAGAGAAATTGCAATCTGGGACTCCAAGTCATCGCTTAGGTGGTATCCATGTGTCATCCAACTATTCTAGATGCCATATGTCACGATGTGATTGAAGGGCCAAATCCACCCTCATCACCATAAGTTTTGATATTTACACGTGTATGAAATGCCAATTCCAGCACATCCGATCCGACTCACCCAATAAAACCAAAACCTATAAAAACGAAATGAAGACAACATTTATTTTATTAAATTCATTTTATGTTCAAGAACGAGCCATACCATAGACTAAAGCATAGCATTGTCTCTGAATACAAAACAAAGTTATGTTCTAGGACTGGAGGGAGCGGAGATCAATATCCATAATCCACCCCACCCCACTTTTGGTTTCGGTGATTTGATTTGAGTTTGATCTCCGTAGTCCGCTACACCCAGGCTAGGATCATTGCGCCTAGCTATCTTGTTACCTACACGGCTACACCTATGCATAAATAAATATCCAACTTTTATCTTAATCAACAAAATGAAGAACATTATTTTCCCCTCTTTTTACTAGTATATGTCTGTATATAATAATGTTCCTAGCTAGCTAGATTGAAACAGAGATGTAGATGACATGGGTCATCGGTGCACACAGCCTTTACCGTGCGTACCGCATTGGATATATAGTTCAGTTGCACACTTCGCTGGTTTCTCCGGGAGAAGATGAGATCTTCATCCACGGGGCATCAAAGTCCATCCTCTTCATCTGCTTCTTCAAAGAAGATGATGATGCCCCACCTCCCTCACCTTTCTCTTCCCTCATCCTCTTCTTGCCTTTCAACCACACTCCAAATAACTTCAAGCTTTGTCTCTCCTCTTCTCCTTTTTCGTCTTCATCACCTTTTTCTTCTTCTTCTTTGTTGTTGTTGTTCTTCTTGTCGTCTACTAGCAGCATTGATAATCGATCATTGTCGCTTCCTTGCATCATGATGCGATTAATCTGCTCGGGTGGGACGTTGATGTACTTGGAGAGGAAGGCAATAAGCTCCTCGCATTGCTTCTTCGTCTGCTCCAGCTCCGAGCTCAGCAGTTGGTTGTCTTTCCTCAGTTTCTCGTTCTCATCCGACAAGTCCGACAAGTGTTGCGTCGCCGTCGCCGTCGTCTCATCCGACGCGTGGTTCTTTGAGTCGGGAGAGGAGGTGGAGCTGGAACCCATATCTTCCCCCGAATTTACTGGGGACGAAGAACGTCCTCCTCCTCCCTCGTTGGGTTTTCCACCGGCGTTGATCTGAACTGTCGCCTTACGACGGTGGATTTCGGAGAGGAGCTCTTTTTCTCCTCTCCGAAAATACTCGTTCGCGAATTCCCATCTGTCCGGCACGATCTTTCGAAAGCCCTGTTCACAACATACGATGCAGAGCTAGCTGTTAGAGCTTTTGTTCAACGTTCCAAAAGCTAAATGAAAGAGCTAATAATTCATCCCAAAGCCAGCGGAAAGCTAACAAAAGCAACCGACCGACAGTTTTTAATTAGCCAGGTCGACACTGGAAGAGAGCTCTGACGTTTGAACAAGTGGACGGGAACGATGGCGCGCCCGTGACTAATTCAAGCGCGATCTGACGTGGCATCTCCATTGGAGCGTATTCGTCTACGCGTCGTGCAGCGCGTTGCGCGACCAGTCTTTATTATTGGTCAAACTTTTGACCACAAGGGGAGATGCCGAGATGGGGGTAGCTGCATGGATGCTGATGTGGGTGACCCCACTCGTATAAAGTATAAGCCAACTGATTAGGTTATTTGTCTTGTTATGGCCGAAATCTAATGTGGGGCCCTTGACACAGCTAGACCTAAACAGCCGTAGATGTATACAGTAACACAGTATACATACTGTACTGTGGTATGTATTGATTCAATGATTCTATTGAAAAGGAAAGAGATTTCTTGCTTTTTTATAAAAGAAGATGGTTTGTTCCCGTCAAACCATCCTTTTCTGCGGGGTTATTCTTTCCTTTTCCTTTCGTGACGAATGATCCATCCACACCATTCGCCTGAACTTCGGCACTGAGAGAAGAATTCTTCAAATGCACGCTGGAGCCACCGGAGTTATCCGATCACTCCAGATCCTCGAAACAAATATTATTATTTATTCATAACATCTCGTTTACGTTGGCATAAATAGAAAGCAAAAGAATAATTAATCAAAGATAAATGAGATGACTGTAACAGAAAAAATTAAGATTACAGAGAAAGAGAGAAGAGGCAGGGAGGGAGGAAAGAGTGACAACATACATAGGTGTTGAGTTGGCGAACGAAACTCGAGAAATTGTTGTGTTTGAAGTAATTAGGGAGCAAATCTCGGGCGAAATCTGCAGGTTTCCAGACAACGAAGGTGGTGCCGTTGTCGTTCCACGAGATCACATCGTCCGTGCTTGCATCCTCCACTAGCTGATACGTCTTCGTCAGAAATGGCGCCGGCACGCTTCTATGTGCCATCCCTTTTGCCTCCTTCTCTAAGATCACCCTTCAACGGTTCCTAAATTAACAGCAGACGAGACGAGACGAGACGAGAGACGAGAGACGAACACCCCAAAAGAAAAACAAAGCAAAGCAAAATACGTAAAACAAGAAAGAAGAATTCTAAAGATCTCCAACAGAAAAGCTTTGGATGATCTTGGATAACTAGGATTTCAACAGCGATAGGCACAACTGAAAAGCAAAAGAGCAGTCAAGAACTCCCAACCCCAACAATAAAATCCAGTGACCAATAACCCAGAGTTCATGAGATGGCAGTGAGACCGAGAATAACCCAGAACACCGTCGCAACGCCCCTCTCTTTCCATCTACAACTCCAGAAGACGAGCTCGCATCAACTTATCGGAACCAATCCACAAGCCCACGAACATCACTACTTCTTCCAGACTCTTACGAGTCTGACACAGTTTAAAAGAAGATGGGAAAGGAAACGAAAGGGGTTTCCAGAAATTTCGGTAAATTCCCTTTGGAATAAAGAATGGGGAAGAGGAAGGAAGAGAGAGAGAAGAGGAACAACGAAGAAAACCAAGGTGTAGGGCAGGCGTGGTCCAGTGGATTTTATTATAATCCGTCCGGGCTCCGAACGCCTTTCGATGAGAAAGATGAGGGAAGGACGATATGATATTGATGATTTGATATCGATATGGTTTCTTAAGAAGCTTCTTTAGCATTTCGGCGTCGTGATCCGTTTTCTATACACGTGGCATCCTCCCGGCTCTTTCAAGTTTCTATTGTTTCGGTGTTTTCTTCTAGAATTTTCTTACTTTTTCCGATCCAACCCATAAAATTGAAATGGAAAATTGGAAATGGTAGAAAAAACAGCAGGAAGTGGGTATTGATTAAAGAATTAGGAGGAAATAAGAATGCCTTTCTCATTCTCACCTAACCTCCTCACTACACGGACAGACACAGCTCTCTTTTTTACTAAATTACACAAAAGTCTTCCTTTAGATTTCTGAGAAGTTTGGTTAACGTCCTTCATTTTTCTAAAATTCGCTGTAAACCTCCCAACTTTGTCGGATGTGGCGGACAATAAACGAAACTTCTAAAAACCTTTTTATTCAACCGTGGGAAAACGTCTTTTCATAGTCAACCTCTAAGGCCTCGTTCACTTTTCTATAATTTATTTATTTAGATAAATGCAATTATCTTGATAAGTTTTTTTCCAATAAATACTTACTCGTCTAACTACAATTATCCATGTTTTTTTATTTCTCAGGATAAAGTTCAAAGTATCGATATGATACGAATTTCAGCCATATTGTAACGGTACTTAGAAATGGCCGTAACATATATACTTTTTAGTTTTTTTTTTCAAATTTTGATTTTTTAGGAAGCTTAAAACATGTTTTTTATTATTAAAAAATTGGGGTACAGGCATTTCGGACCGTATTGTTTTCAAAAGATACAATATGCCCCGTATTGGGCATATCGTATTGATACTTTAAACCATGGTAAGGCAATGGCCATTTTATCCATAAAATTACATTATTAAATGGAGCATTTTTGTCTCATTCAAGTGTGGACAACTTTTCCCTTAGGTGGGAAAGTTATTTACCCACCTAGGAGGTGGGTTACCTAGAAAAATAAACTTTTCTTGGTCCCCGAATAAATATGAAAAAAGAACATGGGATTCTTGGTAAATGGAAACCAAAATCCCATTGACCAATTTCCCCCCCTTTTAAAATCCAAAAAAAGAACACCCCCCTAAAAACCATTGTTTAGCTGAGGATAAAATAGTTATTGGTTTCTGATAAAACTATTAATTGCGAAAAGCCTGTTTTGGGCTAATTTTGAGAGGTTCCAAATAGTGTTTTTTTCATTTTTTTTGTCTCGTCTTCATGATGTATAGAAAAATGCGCCTCCAACAAAATAATCTATAGGCTACCAAGATCTTTATGTAAAAGCTTTTTATGTCTTTTGGCTATCAAATCTTTTAGAAGATCTTTCAAAAAAGACTTGCCAAATGGCACCTTAGACTTCTAAGCCAATAAACAATTAGAGGAAGAGAAATTTGAATAGGATAGAGATGGAGTTTAGGTGCCAATAACAGTTTTAATGTTCCACTATATTACTCATTTAAAAGTTGCCAATCGGCTAATTTATAAGATCTCCCACTGATTATAGCAGAGACTTGAAATCGAATCTTACCTGCAACAGGGGCTGGGGGTTCTGAATTTAGCTGTTTTAGAGAACTGAAGCTTTGATTGAACTGCTCATTGTTTAGAATATTTGGGTGGGCTTTTGGAAAATTTCACTAAACGTTGTTTTATAGACTTGGGGTGGAGCTCGCCTTCCAGAACTCCTTGAAATTTGAAAACCCTCCAAATTACCACAAAAATGGATAAGAGAACTAATTAATGAATTATGACAATGGGGCTCTTCTTTGTCGGATTCTTCAAATAATACCAGTCACAATTACAACTTAAGCTAGGTAGAAAAGACATCAATTTAGGTTGAAAGCCCAAATGCACGAAGCCTCAATTTTAGGCTTTGTGCATTGGGGGCTAAAAGTATTTTGGCTTTAGATTATTACATTTTCAAAAGCAACTCTTGCCAAACACTTAAAAGCACATTTTGACTCATTTTTATTTTTCATAGTTCAAGACCTCCAGAACTTCAACAATGGGAATCATCTTAACCCAGAATTCTCGAACCTTAGAAGATAAAGGAAAAAGTGGAAGGAGAGTAAGTGACATCAGAGCAGCGTTGCAATGTCAAGAGGCCATGTGCAAGATTTCGTAGCCCATCATTATTGAATATATACACTTCAGGCACCGCCCTTGCCTTTCCTTTGAATGGACTTCCGCTTCATCTGGGAAATCTATCTAAATATCCTTTTGCTTAATTCCCTCTTCTTGATAAACCCATTTTCTTTCTTACCTATTTTGGCCCAAAGTCAAAGATAATGCACATTAACTGTTCGATGTTTGGTTCATCAATGTACAGTAACCAAAGGATTATAGGTAGGTTAACAGGGTTTAATAAATATAAAAGGGTTTGGGGATTCAACTTGGATGGACTCAAGTTGAAAAACTGTTAAAATTTGAAGGGAATTTGGACCCAATGCACTGTAAAATTCTTTATTGAAATCAGTTATTAGAAACAAAAAGGGTATATATCCATGTCTATATGTTCGAGTCCAAGAATTCAACCCATCAAAGGGTTTTTTTTTTTTTTATGGCAAAAGGGCTACACAACAAGAGTAGCTCATCTCGTAGGACCAAAAAGATCAGATTAGCTGAACCCATTGGCTGTTTAATGGGCTGTAGAACCAATAATAATGTCCCACACCAGTCATAAAATGCATATGTTCCACAACCATCCACACTCTCACATAGCATTTATGGATGACTGACGTTCAACTAATCCAAATATATATATATATATATATATATATATATATATATATATATATATATATATATTAAAACTGGTCCTGCCATGTCAGCATAGCTCTCCTTTGAGAAAAACTATTTATCTATTTTCTTCATTTTTTGCATTTTTTCTTATTTTCTTTTGTTTTAAAAATATACAATAGTAATCATTGAACCAATGAGATGCTCTCATTCCCCAACAATCTCTTTTTCTAAAATTTATCCTAAATTACCTCCCCCACTTTATCCTAAATCATCTCCAATTCCTATTTATCTTCTAATTTATCTCTAATTTACTAGAGAATTTCTCTCCAAATTATCTCTAATTCCTACTTATCCTCTTTAACACTTTTTATCTATATCTATCTAAAGAAAGTTTAAATAAAATTTTCAAAAATTTCTTAAATATTTAAACAAATTATATAATAACTTTAAAATAATTATTACAAATACAAAAATAATAATAATAGATTTAATAATATTCATATTATTAATAGTTTTATATTTCCACAAATTTCATCACAAAATTATGTACTAACAATATAAATTTTGATTTTCTAGATTATTCAAATTAAATGTTATTCAAACAACTTTAAAATAATTATTTAAATATTTCAATAACTAAATATCTTAAATAATAAAATACTAAAAATAGCTAAATAATTATATAGAAAATATTTAATTATTTAAATATTTAACATAATTATATTTTAAATAATTAAATTAACAAAATTATAAAATAAAATAAAAAAATCATAACATAATACTCAAATTAATAATAATTTAATATTTCTACAAAATTAATAATGAAATTATGAAATAATAGTATAAACTTTAAAATAATTATTAAAAACACAAAAATCAATTCTAATATATTTAATAATACTCATATTATTAATAATATTATATTTTTACAAAAGTCATCATGAAATTATGTACTAAAAATATAAATTATGATTTTCTAGATTATTCAAATAGTAGAATTTAACATTAAAAAAATATTATTTTGATAATGTGTATTTTTAAATATTTTATATATTATTTAAATATTTAAATAACTAAGTGTTTTAAATAACGAAATATTTAACATAACTATTTTTCAAATAGTTAAAAAAAATAAATTATGCAATAAAAAACATAATATTCAAATTTATAATAATTTAATATTTTTACAAAATTAATAATGAAATTATGTTGAAGTTCGGTTTTTCCGATCCAGTCCAGTTTTGAAAACCATGATATAAATCAAATAATATAAATAGGTTAAGGTTAGGCAATAAAAAAATTATTAATTTAAAATTCTACTAAACTTTCATTAAAAATAAATATTAACAAAACAATAAATATTAAAAATGTGTTTCAATTCCACTTAAAAATCTAGCTTAACAAACACTAATAAAAATAAGAAATTTAACTATAAAAATATTAATTAATAGCTTTAATAATATTATTAGATAACTTATGAGTTGAGACCTTAATAAACGCTAATAAAAAATATTAATTAAAAATCCAAAAAATTTTGAAAAATCTAAACATAATTAAAATACTAAAAATAATTAAAAAATATTGAAAATTAATAATATTTTATATTAATAAGGGCATTTACTGAAAATCGGAAATTATTGAAAAAGATTGAGAATTAGTTGTATTTTTTATTAACTATGGTATTTATTTAGTTATTTAATTTATTTATACTAAAAGCAAATGCAAATTAATTTTGTAGTGACTAATACGCAAAAATAAATGATGAAAATACTGAAAATTATTGAAAAATACTTGTATGCAAAAATTACTGAATAATAATGAAAAATCACCAAAGATTAATTAAAATTTCAAAAATTCTGAAAAACCTAAAGCTTAATTAAAATACTAAAAAGAATTAAAAAATTAAGTTAATTGTATTTTATTACAAAAAATACTAAATAATAATGAAAAATAATGCATTTTAATTATTAATAGTAATACAATTAACAATAATTATTTTTAAATAGTTTAAAATTACATTTAATTACCAAAAAGTTATATTTAATTACTAGAAAATTATATTTAATTAGTTTTAGCCAAGAAATTAGCAATATTTCTGAAAATATGAGAATTTCCTGAAATTATTGTATTTTAAATAAATATAATAATTTAATAATTACAATATTTTAATAGATAACAATATTCTAATAATTAATAAAAAGTAACAAGTCGTTATCAAGGATATGCACCATGCCCACACATATCAG